GCCCTTGTGTTGTTTGTCAACACAGGGCTCTGGGCTGTGATTTGACACAGCCGATCAGAAAGTCCCAGCCATGAATGCTTAGCTGGGATCTGCTGACAAACAACTGTGTCAAATTACAGGGGAGTAGGCTAGGGGCACGCGCCCAAAATCTGGAAACGTCGCTGTGTCTATAGGAGCAGTGGGTTGGCAAGTGGTTAAAATAGTGCCAGTTAATTTCAGCTGAGTCCAATAAGTTACTTTTATTCCCACCCTCTGCCCCTGTGATTGGTCAGGATGTAATCAATGGGTTAAATGTGTGCCTAACAAGTGTTAATGTGTGAAATGTGCTGCTCCTTACCAAATATCTCTTTGTTTCTTCTCCCAGCTATTCAGGGAGAAGAAACAGAGGGATAGTAATCAACACAGGGCTCTTGGCTGTGATTGGACACAGCCGATCAGCAGGTCCCAGCCATGAATCATTGGGTGTACAATCACAGCGGGAGTAGGCGAGGGGGGCAAGCGCACCCTGTACCCAGTAACAGGCAGCAACATACAGGTACTTTGCTGTGCCTGTACAGCGGTCGAAAAATGGGCATATCACTTTCAGCAACAGTTTACTTTTAGAGATGTATTCCACTCAATTTAACCACTTGCCCTCCAGACGATTTGCCCCCCCTCCTGACCAGCCCATTTTTTGCGCGGGTAGGGTGGCGTACAAACGCGCCCCCTACCCAGAAATACAAAATCGCGTATAGATTTTGCGCAGCCCTGCAGCTGTAGTTCTAATATAGGGCAGTTGGGAAGCGGTCAATATATAAGCCTTTTGATTGGTACATCACTTAGATTATTGGTACATCATCATTCATAATATATTTTGTGCTCAGGTTTATATTAAATATAAAAAAGGCATTTTCCACTTAGGGATCTATTTATTAAAAACAATATTTGCAAATTTCTCAGTATTCATGCAAAAGTCACAAATATTAAAGTACAACTACAGGCAAAACCTTTCTTTTAATTTTGGATAGAGTAAGGGAGGTTTATAACCCATCAGATTTTTTTTTCACCATCTGTGAGCCAAACAGGAAGTGATAGGAAATCCCTACAAATGAAGATAATTCCTAGGGGACCCCCAGGTCACCAGAACTAGTGCCCCCACTGGAAGATTTCCCCTCTATTACTTTTCTGGGGACAACCCAAAATTTGTAATTTTTTTTTTTTTACTTTCACTTTTGGGGATACAAGAGCAATAACAAATGACAGGTGATCTAATTCATCTCAACTCTATAACTTAAAAAAAATGTTTTGTCTTTAGTTATACGTTGATGTTTGTAGTGTGTGTGAATTGCCAGTTTCTATTTGTTGCCTTTTTCAGGACAAAAATAATGTTCTCTTACATTGAGTACTTAAGAGTAGAAAGAACATTTGACCAGAAATATTAATGAACATTTGATCAATAGAGAAAATAGGCCATCACTATAGGCTAAAACATTGGACTAGAAGAGGAAATAATGGGCAGAGAGGGACTTCTAGGCAGTGTACACTGTATATGGAAATTCCTGTGCTCGCTCCCCACCAACAGTGTAATAAATCAGCTACTGCAAAGAATGAACTGCCATAGAGAATAATACAACGTTGCAGAGAAAGAACTTCATTGTTCGAGAAGTTTACCAGCCTGAAACCTTCACAGATGAGCAACAGAGTTCCGTCTCTGCAACCTTGTATCAATTCTGCATGTTAGTTCACTCTCTACATAAGTCCATTTACACCCGCCTATCCATAGGGGTGAATGGAGGGTCCGATCAGATCTGCCTGAAAAACTGGCAGGTGGACCTAATAGAACCCTTCGTGTGAAAGTGTTGGTGGCGAGCACAGGAAAATCCATACATTTTGTACCACAGCGCAGAGATCTTCCTCATAATTTTTCTTCTGGTCAGATGTTGGCTTTGTCAGCCTATCCTCCAGTATTCTATTGGCCTACAGCCACACACCTTCTTGCATCAGACCTTCTTCCATCTTTGGTTACGACAATGTTGTGCCTTATTTAAGCATCACAAGTCCAGGGCTGTGAGCTTGTAATAGCATTTCACTACCTGGCTCCCTACCCTGGGATGCCTTTTTGGCCTTGCTGCTGCTGGCCCTAACTTCGGGACTGTTTCTGGATAACCCTTGCATGCTGTCTGCCTTGAACTTGGATTGCCTCTGAATACTGCTAACTGTCTTTCGTCTGCCTGATCAATACCAGCCTCTGGACTTTCATGCAGTTTCTCCCCTGCCATGCTACACCTAATGCCAGATCCTCCTGAAGATCTCAGGTAATCCTTTCTGTTGCCTGTGCTCCGTCCTTAGGTCAGTGGGAGGAGAACACCCTGGCACTGAAGGTCAGTGGGAAGAGAACACTCTGGTACTGGAAGTCAGTGGGAGAACACCCTGGCACTGGAGGTCAGTGGGAAGAGAACACTCTGGTACTGGAGGTCAGTGGGAGAACACCCTGGCACTGGAGGTCAGTGGGAAGAGAACACTCTGGTACTGGAGGTCAGTGGGAGAACACCCTGGCACTGAAGGTCAGTGGGAAGAGAACACTCTGGTACTGGAGGTCAGTGGGAGAACACCCTGGCACTGAAGGTCAGTGGGAAGAGAACACTTGGTACTGGAGGTCAGTGGGAAGAACACCCTGGCACTGGAGGTTAGTGGGAGGAAGAACAGCCTGGTACTGGAGGTCAGTGGGAAGAGAACACTCTGGTACTGCAGGTCAGTGGGAAACACCCTGGCACTGGAGGTTAGTGGGAGGAAGAACAGCCTGGTACTGGAGGTCAGTGGGAGGACGAACAGTTCCAGTACTGCAGGTTTGTGGGAGGAGAACACCCTGGTACTGGAGCTCAGTGGGAGGAGAACACCCTGGCACTGGAGGTCAGTGGGAGGAAGAATGGCCTAGCACTGGAGGTCAGTAGGAGCACAGCCTGGCACTTGAGGCAGAAATTCAAAGACAGGTTAGGAGAAAGCCTAGTCGTACACAGGTAGGCAGGTCAAGGATCAGGTTAAGCAGAAACTAAATGAAGGCTACGCAGCAATCCATAGTCCAGCTTTAATAGGCCATTTGGCAACAGTTCCTGTACAGTGTGTGGATATGTTTTGAGGGCACACTAGTACATTTTCTGTGAGCCTTTGCTCAGATTTATGAGCATGCACATGAGCATGTAATAACCTTCTTACAACACCTACTGAGCTTCTCTTACAACACCCTGTCACTGAAGGTCAGTGGAAGGAAGAACACCCTGGCACTGGAGGTCAGTGAGAGAATAAAACAACCTAGCAGTGGAGGTCAATGAGAGGAAGAACACCCTAGCATTGGAGGCCAGTAAGAGGAAGAATATTCTAGTATTGGAGGACAGTGGAAGGAAGAAAACCCTGGATCTGGAGGTCAGTGGCAAACAAAATACCCTAGCAATAGAGGTCAGTGAGAGGAAGAATATTCTAGTATTGGAGGACAGTAGAAGGAAGAAAACCCTGGAACTGGTGGTTAAGTGGAAGGTAGAACACCCTGGCAGTGGATGTCAGTGAGAGGAAGAATATTCTAGTACTGGAGGACAGTGGAAGAAAACCCTGGAAATGGAGGTCAGAGGAAGGAAGAAAACCCTGGAACTTGAGGTCAGTGGAAGGAAGAAAACCCTGGAACTGGAGGTCAGTGAAAGGTAGAACGCCGTGGCAGTGGAGGTCAGTAAAAGGAAGAATATTCTAGTACTGGAGGACAGTGGAAGGAAGAAAACCCTGGAACTGGAGGTCAGTGGAAGAACACCCTAGAACTGGAGGTCAGTGGAAGGAAGAATACCCTGGAAGCAGAGGTCAGTGGAAGGTAGAACACCATGGCACTGGAGGTCATGAGAGGAAGAATATTCTAGTACTGTAGGACAGTGGAGGGAAGAACACTCTGGCAGTGGAGGTCAGTGGAAGGAAGAACACCGTGGCAGTGGAGGTCAGTGGAAGGAATAACACCGTGGCAGTGGAGGTCAGTGGAAGGTAGAACACCCTCACAGTGGAGGTCAGTGAAAGGTAGAACACCATCGCAGTGGAGGTCAGTGGAAGGTAGAACACCCTCGCAGTGGAGGTCAGTGGAAGGTAGAACACCCTCGCAGTGGAGGTCAGTGGAAGGTAGAACACCCTCGCAGTGGAGGTCAGTGGAAGAAGAACACCCTCGCAGTGGAGGTCAGTGGAAGGAAGAACACCCTCGCAGTGGAGGTCAGTGGAAGGAAGAACACCCTCGCAGTGGAGGTAAGTGGAAGGTAGAACACCCTCGCAGTGGAGGTCAGTGGAAGGTAGAACACCCTCGCAGTGGAGGTCAGTGGAAGGGAGAACACCCTCGCAGTGGAGGTCAGTAAAAGGAAGAAAACCCCAGCATCAGGGGGTCAGTGGAAGAACATTCTGGCATTGGAGGTCAGTGGGTGAGGACATTCTAGTACTGGAGGTCAATGAGCAGAAGAACAGCCCATTATTGGTGGTCAGTGGCAGGAAGATTACCCCTAAATCAGACAGCTGAAGGTAACAATACTGGATGACAGCAGTAGAAGGAATACCCTGGTCATCATTACAAATCCAGGACCTGCCAGGCGCCTTGCCCCAAGGGTGCATATGTTGGCCAGGCAGCACACCCAGTGATTATAGGAACAGGCAGCTTTTGTCTCACAAGTGTGCTTCTGTGCTCTCCAGCTGCTAAGGGGGCCATGTCCTGGTCCTGGGGGGGGTCTTCATCCAATGCCAGGACATTTGTGGGGACACATAAAACTAGACAACACTGGCACCCTGTAAACAAAGCAATCATGCTGGGACATGTGGTACTACAAAGAGTGTGGTCAGGTGGTTGAGCAGTGGCGCAGCACACACTGGGGTCACCTCCACCTCCTCCTCCTCCTCATACAGGACACACAACACGTCCCAAGCACTAGGACTGATTGGCTGATTTGACCCGAGCAGCGCTCCGTAGACAGAGCCTCGCCTCGTACTGCGCATGTCTGCTGTCAGTGTGGCTTATGGGAGGAATATGGCGGCGTGCAGGAGGTCAGTGCTGCTGGCTCGGTACCGGACAGGTGAGTGCACAGGGGTCACCACTGCAATGTACATGGAGGATGGCTGCCTTCTATGGGAAGGTCACTCCATTTCCTTGTCTGTATGATCTGTAGGACAGTCCCTGGAGTCTGGTGACCATGTAGTTGTCTCTGATTTCCAGGCAGTGGTGAGCAGGCTTGCAGGGACCCAATCTGCATGGAGGGTGTATGTACCTGGAATTCCTCCAAGTGGTCCCAATTCAAACTGTCTCACCCCACTTACCCAAAACATGGGCCAATTCCCCCATCCTGTATTTTTTTTTTTCAATTTAGCATGTCCCCACCCACACTGCTGTGTTGTCCAATCACATGAATCTGTTAGTAGAAGGACTACAAGTCCCACCTGCCACCGCAGCACAGGGACTCGAAGATCTCCATGGAGTGGCACCCATCTAATAGCACAGCACCGTCTTCATACACAGGTCTTATAATACTACTATACAAACATCCATTATACAAGGTGGTATCAAAATGTTTTCGAGACTAGTTTTGTTACACACCAACAGATGGCAGTACAAGGCTGCACGCACAGTCACAGGGAGCACCGACCTTCATAATTCAGTGTGCCAGAAAGGAATTGTCCTGTGTACACCGGGAGCTGTGCAATTGGTGCTATTCTGACCATGTGTGTTACCACGTTTTTTATTTCATCATGGACCGCATGTTAGAACAAAGAGCAAACGTGAAACTGGGCAAATCTGCCGCAGAGACGTTTGACATGATTCGGCAAGTTTACCGCGATCCTGCAATGAGTCATTCGAGGTGTTTTGAGTGGCATGTGCACTTCAAGAGTGGAAGAACTTCACTGGAAGATGATGAGAGATCGGGAAGACCTTCAGAGAGCTTCAACCCCCCGAAAATGCCCTCTTCCTGAAGATGAAGGTCCAGCTTAAAGTGTTACTAAACCCACAACAGTAAAATCAGTCTGTATATGCAGCAAAGCATGCTTGTTATACTCACTGTGGAACCTAAGGGGTTAATCCTCTGCATTGTGTAAAAAGACTCATTTTATCTTCTATGCCCCTCCTCTTGTTGAAATGACCACCTGATACAGACTGAACCCATGGTCACATGCTCAGTTTGGTGTGTATTGCTAGAGAGGGAGGTTTTTTTTTTTTTTCTTGGGAGGGTGCATGTGATCAGCACAGGGCCAGTCAGTACTGTCCAGACAGAGGATCAGAGGTTTTAGATCCTCCTAGAGCAGAAAAAAAGCTCCTCCTACAAGCTTTAACCAGTGCCCTGCTGGACACTGATAGAAGTCACAATACTCTCGGGGGATCAGGAAGGAATTTTTTTTCCCCTGCAGGAGCAAATTGGATCATGCTTTGCTGGGTTTCTTTGTCTTTCCTATGGATCAACTGTGGGTGTAGGATTATAACTTTTTTTTATTTTTGTCATGGTTCAGCTGGATGGACGTTTGTCTTTTTTTCAGCCAGACTAATTATGTAACTATGCTCTAACTGCTCATGAGAAAAGGTATTTAGCAGTTTATATTTACTAAAATAATAGCATTTCCATGTTGTGTGTACTGTGGGAGAGCAGATATAGTGAATACAGGGTCCTGGGTTTAGTATCACTTTAAAGGTCGTCATTTTGACAATATTGCAGAGATCCAGCAATTTGCCCAGTTTCACACAGAATTTCACATTTGCTCTAACTTTCCGTTCATGATGAAATGGCAGACGTGGTAATGCACGTGGTCAGAAAAGCACCAGTTGCACAGCTCCTGATGTACACAGGATGATGTCTTTTGGCACACTGACTTATGAAGTTTGGTGCTCCCTGTGACTGTGTGTGCAGCCTTATGCTGCCATCTGTTGGTTTGTTATAAAATTAGTTGACACCACCTTCGTACTACAAGACAAAGGTCTTAAACCACTATCATATATACATCGATAATACTATCATATCAGGGTCTTATAAATCATTCATTCTGCAATGCAAAGGTTCAAATTAATACATCAGTAGGTCCTGTAATAATCCCATACACGAGGCTTATAATATTACCACACAAACAACATCAGTAATGCTACAAGACAAAGGTCTTCTAACCCTATCATTCATATGCCAATTATTCTACCATACCAATATTATCATACAAATGTCAAATTAACTGGAGAGACAAATAGGTACCACATCTGTAATTGGTAATGCAGCCCACAGAAAGCTTTGTTAGGCTAGGTTCACACTTATGCAGCTTGCATTTGAGCCGTTTTTGCGTTGCCTTTTGCGTTGCTTTTTGCACTTGCATTTTTTTATGCATTTTTCCGCGTTTTTTGATCCGTTTTGCATTTTTTTTTTTTTTTTTTCTTGCTGCTTGGCAGATTTAAAACACAGCAAAAAGGCAATGCATGCTTTTCTGCAGAGTTTCCATTGAAGTTTATAGAACTAAAGACACAACGTTTTGCATTATAAAAAAAGTCCCTGACCCTTTCCATAAAACACACCAGGTGAAACCGCGCAGATGTGAACATGTCCCATAAGAAATCATGTTAAACGGACTGTAGTGCGTTTCTGCCAAACGCTGCAGGAAATGCTTAGGTGTGAACCTGGGGTAAGGGGACTTTACTGGTACCACATAGAGACCATAATATTAACCGCTTCCTGACCGGCCTATAGCAGGTATACTGCTACAGGTTGGCACGGGTTCACGAAATCACGTGTATATATACGTGATTTTGCATGTCCGGGCAGGGGGTGCACATGCGCCCTACCCGCGCCGCCATTCACAGCCGTGGCTGTCAGTCACCGGGTTGCGGCCGGTGATTGCCGAGCATCTCTGACGGGGAGGAGAACTGTTTGTAAACAAAGCAGTTCTCCCTGTCAGCTCATGCACACTGCTTTGGATGGCTGTGCACAGCCATCCAAAGCAGTGTGCTTACAGTGAAGCACACAGACACAAGTAAAGCACACAGCCCTTTGATCAACCCTCATGTTAACTGCTTCATGCCCTGTGTCATTAGTACAGTGTCAGTGCTTTTTTTTTTTTTTTTAATAGCACTGATCACTGTATTGGTGTCCACTGGGGGTGTCAGTGACACCACGTCAGTTCCCACCCAGTGTCAGAATGCCCGCTATAAGTCGCTGATCGCCGCCATTAGTAGTAAAAATAAGAAAAAAAATCCCAAATGGCTCTGAAGAAGAGGTTGTGTCCTCGAAACGCGTTAGCAAGCTGGTCATCCAGGGTTCCATCGTATGGACTCAGATGTTGTTTGGATCATACATCTTGTTCAGTTTGACATGCCTGTGTTATTATGTCCATTGTGAGTATGATACCTATTTTGTTTCTTCAATAAATTATTTTAAACGATAATGCACTAGGTCGGTGCGCCCTTTTTCTGTTTCTCCATTTGTATCCAGTGTATTTGGACCACCCCGGTCTGTTGAGGGCAGCAATCAGTGCATACTCCAGAAAATTCCAGAACATTCCTATTGGGTCTACTGAGTCCTTTCCTAGCGCAGGAGTAAAGTGTTTGTTATGTTGAACCGCCATTTGTAAATGCTAAAACTTTCATGTAAACCATTAAATTTACACATTTTGGGATTTTTTTTTAAGCGAAGACATGGAGCAGAATACATTTTGGCCTAAATTTATGACGAAATTAGATTTTTAAAATTTATTTTTTACTGTACATGTTTAATAGCAAAAAGTCAAAAATATTGGATTTTGTTTCCTCAAAATTGTTGGGTTTTTTTTTTTTTTTTTTTTTTTATAGCGCAAAAAATAAACTCACAGGCGATCAAATACCACAGAAAGAAAGCTCAATTTGTGGGAAAAAAAGGATATAAATTTCATTTGGGTGCAGTGTTTGCATGATTGTGCAATTGTCAGTTAACATAACGCCAAAAAATGGCCTGGTCAGGAAGGGGGTAAATCCTCAGGAGGGCAATGTTTATTGATATCCATGTATAAAACACATTGGACCAAAAGGCCTGAGTATAAACACCACATTTTAGTATGAGATATCCATATAGACATATAGCTTGACACCATTCATAGGAAAAGCCTAACAAGCCTAGTTTGAGAAAATACAGTATTCAATAATAAACACCGTATCAAACATGCCTCCCCATACCACAGGTTTTCTATGGCAGTGTTGCTCAATCTTTTTTCATTCAAGTCACCCTTTAAAATTCTGCACAATCTCAAGGCACCCAATCTAAAATGTAAAAACTATTCCACACACATCCAGTACACCCAACATTAGAGGCGATTTATTCTTCCAAAGTAAATACACCTTTACACACTGGTACTGACTATTATTCCAATGTCTCTCTTATTTTCTCTCCCTCACTCTGCTAATGTGACCCCAGTGCTGACGGAGAGGGGCAGGGGAGGGCCAAACAAGGATGATGTGCATGCACCCGACATCCTCCTTATCAACCGATGATGTCATTTGTTGTTAGGATGCTGGCAGCTAGAAGGTCATAAAAGTGCACAATGAAAACCTGTAGCTTTGTGTACTAAAAGGTAGGATTGATCCACCTGCTGGCTTGTGTACAATTTTTGGGCTTTTTGCCAAGGCACCCCTGAAGAAGCCTGAAGGCACCCCAGGGTGCCTGTGCACCCTGCTTGAGAAAGGCTGTTTATGACATTAATCTGTTTTGTAGACTTGAGTCCACTTCCTCAGGATAGAACGATGTTACACTAAATAAAAACCATAAAGAAATGATTATATATCATATGATGTGTATGCATATCCCCCAATGAAGGTATAGGCCATTCCCCGGGCAAACATGAGCTAAAAAGGAGGGGATATTGAACTAATGAACAGAACTTACAGAATGTTCTAGCATGCATTCTTATGGATTTTAAAGCTTACATTGAATATAATGAACGTGTGTTGCTTCTGAACTTATTTAGCGATTTGCCCTCCAGAGGATTTACCCCCCTTCCTGACCAGGCCATTTCTTGCGATACGGCGCTGCATTAACTGACAATTGTGCGGTCATGCAATGCTGCATCCAAATAAAATTGACATCCCTTTTTCCCCCTCAACTAGAGCTTTCTTTCAGTGGTATTTGATCGCCTGTGCGCTTTTTAATTTTTGCATTATAAAATAAAAAAGACAGACAATTTTGAAAAAAAAAATATATATATTTTTTGACATTTTGCTATTAAACCTATCCAGTAAAAAAAAAATTTTTTTAAATTTCTGCTACATGTCTTTGCTAAAAAAAAAAAAATTGCAATACATGGAAAAATTGGTTTACGTGAAAGTTATGGTGGCATATATACTGTATTTTGGGGTTTTTTATTCTTTACTAGTAATATCAGCGACTTATAGCAGGACTGCGGCGGGCATTCTGACACTGGGGGGGAACTGACTAGCTGTCACTGACATCCCAATAACACTAATACAGTGGTCAGTGCTAATAAAAAGCACTGACACTGGACAGGAAGGGGTTAACATCTGGGGCGATCAAAGAGTTAAGTGTGCTGTGTTGTGTTTTACTATGTAAGCATGATGCTTTGTATTGCTCTGCTGTGCAGAGCAATACAAAGCAGCAGGTCGGTGCTCCAGGGGAGATATGTTTACACACAGGTCTCTCCCTGTCACTGTTCCTCGGCAATCATCAGGTGCCGACAGGGAATCTGCGGCTGGGACCCGTGATCGACATTAGTAGCCTCTGCCCGGAAATGCAAAATCATGTGTATATATATATATACGTAATTTTGCTCAGCCCTGCCACCCTGTAGCAGTAGTTCAGCTATAGGGCGGTGGGAAAGCAGTTAAAGTGCTACAGTGTGATTAGGGTCATGACAAAAGCCGGCTCAAGACATCTGCACTGAATAGCATAGTTTGCATAATCACTTGACTTCCTGTAGGATCACATATCTGTAGATGGGGAACATGCACAAGATTGCACACTCTCCCGACCTTTAGAAAAATGCGCTGCACTTTAGCAGATGTGTGGGGTGCGGTTAATTTCTGATTGCACCCACATCACCACCCGCAGTGCGTTTTCGCACATGCCAAAGCACTATGAGGCTTGGTGTGGCTCAATTTTAAAAAAAGGGTTAGATAATTATTTCCTGCATTTCTTGCAGGTGGGCAGTCCATTGAAATGAATGCACTTGCACATATGTGAACAGAGCCTTAGAATGAATTGCCCACCCACACATCTGCTAAAGAGTAGCTTGTTTCTCTGTGGGTCGGGAACACTTTATTTCTTATTTTATTTTTATTTTTTTTCCGGCACTTATATAGCGCCGTCTATTTTCCTAGCACTTTACATATATTTTGTGCATTCACATCAGTCCCTAACCCTCAAGGGGTGTACAATCCAAGATCCCTAACTCACATTCACAATTTATACAGGATCCAATTCACTTACCAGCATGTCTTTGGAGTGTGGGAGGAAAACGAAGTACCCGGAGGAAACCCACGCAGGCACAGGGAGAACATGCAAACTCCAAGCAGGTGGTGTCATGGTTGGGATTCGAACCAATGACCCCAGTACTGCCAGGCGGAAGTGCTAACTATTTAGCCACTGTGCTGCCCACTTTCATTTCCTGTTGAGATTATTACAAATCCCAATACTTCCTATAATGATTGAGAGACATACATTTTTATGCTTTTTTTTTTTTTTTTTTTTTTTTTTTTTTTAATAAGCCAATATGTGCATTTGGTTAATTTCTCCTCCCCTTTAGGATTTTTGATGCCGGCCAGGTTCCTTTCTGATGATGAGCCTACCAAGTTCCAACCGCCTGTCAAGCCACAATTTGTGGTTAAGCAAGTGTCACAAGCTCAGAGAAGGTATTGCCAGTATTTCTTTAAAGAAGAATTCCAGATGTGGCTATTTCATGCGTATTTACCGTACATTGGTCCAACTTGGACAGATATAACTATGTATATGTCATACCTGGACAATGTCCCTGGAAGCTGGAAATTGGTGAAGTAGACACCACTACTCCAGTGTTTTCCACTTTCTTCTGGTTCCAGTGCTGAGTGGCTGCCCTGTTATATTCTGAACACAGGAGGTCAACCGCTCAGCATGGGCACCATTCAGAGAATGCTTTGCATTTTTTGAATGAATGAAATGTGTTCTCTAATTGGACAAGGTAGAGAGTATGATGTCACCACCCTGCCTGTCTTTCCTGACCAATCGGAGATTAATTCAGAAAATGCAGTTCTCTGAATGGCGCCTGTGCCGATTGGCTCATCTATGTTCAGAATGCAGCAGGGCAGCCACTTGGTGCAAGACCCGGACAAACGTGGAGATCACTGGTGTAGTGCAAGTCTACTTCAGTGATTTCATCTTCCAGGGGTATCAGCTAGATATGGTGTATGCATAGTTACATTGTATATTACATTATATTCTTTGTTAATGTCTGAGTTTGTGCTGTTTTTTTTTGTTTTTTTTTTTATTTACAAAATTTTTTATTAAGAGACAACAAAACCAGTGCAACCTCTTAAGGAACAAAACACCCCAAGGAAAAGACACATGTGCTGTTTTGTTTTTTTTTTTTTTTTTTTTTTTTAGAGTTGTCAATATTCTCAGAGAAATTATAAATATATCTATTAAATAAGAGTAGTCTTGTGCCACAAAAGCACGACTGGACTGTAAAAAAACCATGGCATGTATACTAAACTTTTGGCTTTTCTGTATAAAGGTCCATATAGTTAGATACCCTGTCACCAGACCATTTATTTCAACCCCAATCTTCTGATCAAATTGTATCTGCATTTAATGTACTTTATGGATATTTACCTGCAAAAGTTGTGTAGACATCCAAAAGCCATGAGACTTCTGCTGAGCGTCACCATCTAAGATATGATGTCAGCAGAATCAGAGCTGACATTTTAATGACACTCAATAGTACTCCCCTTTGCTTCTCCCACAGCAGGTACATAAAGGGTTATGTAGGGAGGTGGGGGGCGGGGTAGGAGCTGGACCAGGAAAAGAGGGAAGGGGCTTTGCTAGAGAATTGACTAACAAGTTCTAACAAGTTCAAAGGTGCATTGCAAGTAAATTACGGAAAGGAAAATCGCAAGTAAGCATTTTAAATAAATAATTTTTTTTCATTGTTGACAAGGTTCTTTTAGTGTTAAAACTATGTTATTATGTTTTAATTTAGGTTCCTAAGCCCAGAATTTATACCCCCCCGATGCAGGAGAGATCCACTTTGTTTTCAGATTGAAAGGGATGACATGATTGAAAGACGAAGACTCTTCAACATTCCAGAATTCTACGTAGGTGCGAGAACTGTTCCATCTTTGCAACACAATGTTAGTTCAACTGAAAAGGACAGAAAAGTTAAAGAAGTACAGCCTACAGGTGAAACTCGAAAAATTTGAATATCGTGAAAAGGTTCATTTATTTCAGTAATGCAACTTAAAAAGTGAAACTAATATATGAGAGAGACTCATTACATGCAAAGCAAGATACAGTCAAGTCCATAACTATTGGGACATCGACACAATTCTAACATTTTTGGCTCTATACCCCACCACAATGGATTTGAAATGAAACGAACAAGATGTGCTTTAACTGCAGACTGTCAGCTTTCATTTGAGGGTATTTACATCCAAATCAGGTGAACGATGTAGGAATTACAACGGTTTGCATATGTGCCTCCCACTTGTTAAGGGACCAAAAGTAATGGGACAGAATAATAATCATAAATCAAACTTTCACTTTTTAATACTTGGTTGCAAATCCTTTGCAGTCAATTCTCCAGTCAATTCTGGTCTCATTTGTCCATAGGATGTTGTTCCAGAACTGTGAAGGCTTTTTTAGATATCGTTTGGCAAACTAATCTGGCCTTCCTGTTTTTGAAGCTCACCAATGGTTTACATCTTGTAGTGAACCCTCTGTATTCACTCTGGTGAAGTCTTCTCTTGATTGTTGACTTTGACACACATACACCTACCTTCTGGAGAGTGTTCTTGATCTGGCCAACTATTGTGAAGGGTGTTTTCTTCACCAGGTAAAGAATTCTTTGGTCATCCACCACCGTGGTCTTCCGGGTCTTTTGGTGTTGCTGAGCTCACCGGTGCGTTCTTTCTTTTTAAGAATGTTCCAAACAGTTGTTTTGGCCACGCCTAATGTTTTTGCTATCTCTCTGATGGGTTTGTTTTGTTTTTTCAGCCTAATGATGGCTTGCTTCACTGATAGTGACAGCTCTTTGGATCTCATCTTGAGAGTTGACTACAATAGATTCCAAATGCAAATAGCACACTTGAAATGATCTCTGGACCGTTTATCTGCTCATTGTAATTGGGATAATGAGGGAATAACACACACCTGGCCATGGAACAGCTGAGAAGCCAATTGTCCTATTACTTTTGGTCCCTTAACAAGTGGGAGGCACATATGCAAACTGTTGTAATTCCTACACCGTTCACCTGATTTGGATGTAAATACCCTCAAATTAAAGCTGACAGTCTGCAGTTAAAGCACATCTTGTTCGTTTCATTTCAAATCCATTGTGGTGGTGTATAGAGCCAAAAATGTTAGAATTGTGCCGATGTCCCAATATTTATGGACCTGACTGTAGTTCAAGCCGTGATTTGTCATAATTGTGATGAATATGGCTTACAGCTCATGAAAACCCCAAATCCACAATCTCAGAAAATTAGAATATTACATGCAATCAATAAAGCAAGGATTGTACATAGAACAATATCGGACCTCTGAAAAGTATAAGCATGCATATGTACTCAGTACTTGGTTTGGGCCCCTTTTGCAGCAATTACTGCCTCAATGCGGCGTGGCATGGAAGCTATCAGCCTGTGGCACTGCTGAGGTGTTCTGGAAGACCAGGATGCTTCAATAGCGGCCTTCAGCTCTTCTGCATTGTTCGGTCTCATGTCTCTCATCTTTCTCTTGGCAATGCCTCATAGATTCTCTATGGGGTTCAGGTCAGGCGAGTTTGCTGGCCAATCAAGCACAGTAATCCCACGGTCATTGAACCAGGTTTTGGTGCTTTTGGCAGTGTGGGCAGGTGCCAAGTCCAGCTGGAAAATGAAGTCAGCATCCCCATAAAGCTCATCTGCGGAAGGAAGCATGAAGTGCTCCAAAATCTCCTGGTAGACGGCTGCATTGACCCTGGACTTAATGAAGCACAGTGGACCAAAACCAGCAGATGACGTGGCTCCCCAAATCAACACAGACTGTGGAAACTTCACACTGGACTTCAAGCATCTTGCAGTGTGTGCCTCTTTATTCTTCCTCCATACTCTGGGTCCTTGGTTTCCAAATGAGATGCAAAAGTTGCTCTCATCAGAAAAGAGGACTTTGGACCACTGAGCAACAGACCAGGTCTGTTTTTCTTTAGCCCAGGTAAGACACTTCTGACGTTGTTTGTTGTTCAGGAGCGGCTTGACAAGAGGAATACGACATTTGAAGCCCATGTCCAGGATCCGTCTGTGTGTGTGGTGGCCCTTGATGCACTGACTCCAGCCTCAGTCCACTCCTTGTGAAAGTCCCCAACACTTTTGAATGGCCTTTTCCTGACAATCCTCTCCAGGCTGCAGTCATCCCTCCTGCTTGTGCACCTTTTTCTTCCACACTTTTCCCTTCCACATAACTTTCTATTAATGTGCTTTGATACAGCACTTTGGGAACATCCAACTTCTTTTGCAATTACCTTTTGAAGCTTTCCCTCCTTATGGAGGGTGTCATTGATGGTTTTCTGCACAACTGTCAGGTCGGCAGTCTTTCCCATGATTGTGATTCCTACTGAACCAGGCTGAGAGACCATTTAAAGGCTCAGGAACCCTTTGCAGGTGTTATGGCTTAATTAGCTGATTAGAGTGGAACACTTTGAGCCTAGAATATTGCACCTTTTCACACTATTCTAATTTTCTGAGATTGTGGATTTGGGGTTTTCATGAGCCGTAAGCCATAATCATCACAATTATGACAAATCACGGCTTGAACTATCTTGCTTTGCATGTAATGAGTCCATATCATATATTTCACCTTTTAAGTTGCATTCCTGAAATAAATGAACTTTTGCACGATATTCTAATTTTCGAGTTTCACCTGTAGTTTGTTTAGCTGTACTTCTGTGGATCACAGGAGTCCAGTTCGTTCTGCACTCCTGTGACCAATTTTCAGCCGACAGCAGGCTATTGTCCGCTCTCAGCTGATGTCACTCATCGGGTCCAGGCTAGGGAAAGATTGCAACCATGTAGTCAGTACAGCACCTGACTTCGCCTCTCAGTGATCCTCCGAGTGCCTGAGCCAGCTGCTACAGCCCCCTCCACAGCCTAGTGCTCCAGTTGGCACTGGGGGGGGGGGGGGGGGGGGGGGGGCAGAGCAAACAGTGGTGACCCATAGCCAATGCTCTCTGCTCAGAGCAGCAGGGAGAGCTGAGGAATCTGCAGTGTCTGATCACTCAGTTCTCAGTCTTTAGAGCCGCCGGGGACAGATGTAGCATTGGATTGATGCTGCATCCCCTAGGTAATGAAAATTAAGAAGAAAAAAAAATCCCAAACTTATCTTTTAAATCAGAACTTTAAAAAGATTCTGTCACTTTAAGAATGCTGAGAGCTTCCAACAGGTATGTAGCAGTATCCAATAGCACTGCTATGCCCGAATGCCATCTCATTTTGATTGGGCAAAGCTGTGACAGAGCTTGCTATTATGCCCCACCCTTTCCTAATCATTCCTATTGGCCTGTCACTTTAATGGGCTGATGGCCAATAAGATTGTGTCTGTCTGTTGGAGGAGTGGGATGTGATGGTGGCTGAGACTTTTCCTAATCAGGAAGTACTGAAATCTGCTGCAGATACAGTTGGGTCCATATATATTTTTGGACACAGGCACAATTATTTAGTTTTTTTTTCAGGTATTGACCAAAACATATTACAGCTATAGTTATATAATGGATATGGGCTGAAAGTGCACACTCTCAGGTTTAATTGGAGGGTATGTACATCCAACTTAGAGGAAGGGTTTAGGAATTACAGCTCTTAAGAGTAGCCATCCCCCCTTTTTCAAGGGACCAAAAGTAATTGGACAATTGAATCAAAAGCTTCTTCATGGCCATGTGTGGGCTATTCCTTCGCTATCATATAGAGTGGAGAAGGACTCTGAGAGATTAGGAACTAGTTGATATGCGCAGTGTATTAATTATGTTTTTGCTTGGTGTCCTCCAGGAAGCATTCTTGCCGTGACCATGTCAGATCCCCATGCAGGTGGAAAACTCCACAACTTTGTGGGGATTTGTATCCAGAGGTCAGGAAAAGGACTCGGTGCCACTTTTGTTCTCCGAAATGTTATTGAAGGACAAGGTAAATGACATAGAAACTTCATGTAGCTGCTTGTGCATGTCATACTTAACCACTTGCCCTCCAGAGGACAATTGCACAGTCATGCAACGCTCTACATAAATTAAATTTACCATATTTTTCGCTCCATAAAACGCACCTAGGTTTTAGAGGAGAAAAACAAGAAAAAAAAATATTCTGAACCAATGGACTGCAGACACAGTACAGGAGATGACCAGAGACTGCGGACATGATAAAGGAGATGACCAGAGACTGCGGACACAGTAAAGGAGATGACCAGATGACACAGTACAGAGACCAGCGGACACAGTACAGGAGATGACCAGAGACTGCGGACACAGTACAGGAGAGATGACCAGAGACTGCGGACACAGTACAGGAGAGATGACAGAGACTGCGGACACAGTACAGGAGAGATGACCAGAGACTGCGGACACAGTACAGGAGAGATACCAGAGACTGACAGTACAGGAGAGATGACCAGAGACTGCGGACACAGTACAGGAGAGATGACCAGAGACTGCGGACACAGTACAGGAGAGATGACCAGAGACTGCGGACACAGTACAGGAGAGATGACCAGAGACTGCGGACACAGTACAGTACATGACCAGAGACTGCGGACACAGTACAGGAGATGACCAGAGACTGCGGACACAGTACAGGAGATGACCAGAGACTGCGGACACAGTACAGGAGATGACCAGAGACTGCGGACACAGTACAGGAGAGATGACCAGAGACTGCGGACACAGTACAGGACTGCGGACACAGTACAGGAGATGACCAGAGACCAGACAGACTGGGGATGACCAGAGACACAGTACAGGGATGAGATGACCAGAGACCAGAGACTGCGGACACAGTACAGGGAGATGACCAGAGACTGCGGACACAGTACAGGGAGATGACCAGAGACTGCGGACACAGTACAGGAGAGATGACCAGAGACTGCGGACACAGTACAGGAGAGATGACCAGAGACTGCGGACACAGTACAGGAGGATGACCAGAGACTGCGGACACAGGGATGGAGAGACTGACACAGTACAGGGGATGACCAGAGACTGCGGACACAGTACAGGAGAGATGACCAGAGACTGCGGACACAGTACAGGAGAGATGACCAGAGACTGCGGACACAGTACAGGAGAGATGACCAGAGACTGCGGACACAGTACAGGAGAGATGACCAGAGACTGCGGACACAGTACAGGAGAGATGACCAGAGACTGCGGACACAGTACAGGGGATGACCAGAGACTGCGGACACAGTACAGGAGAGATGACCAGAGACTGCGGACACAGTACAGGGGATGACCAGAGACTGCGGACACAGTACAGGATGACCAGAGACTGCGGACACAGTACAGGGGATGACCAGAGACTGCGGACACAGTACAGGGGAGATGACCAGAGACTGCGGACACAGTACAGGGGATGACCAGAGACTGCGGACACAGTACAGGAGAGATGACCAGAGACTGCGGACACAGTACAGGAGATGACCAGAGACTGCGGACACAGTACAGGGGATGACCAGAGACTGCGGACACAGTACAGGGGATGACCAGAGACTGCGGACACAGTACAGGGAGATGACCAGAGACTGCGGACACAGTACAGGGAGATGACCGGAGACTGCGGACACAGTACAGGGGATGACCGGAGACTGCGGACACAGTACAGGGGATGACCAGAGACTGCGGACACAGTACAGGGGATGACCAGAGACTGCGGACAGTACAGGGGAGACTGCGGACACAGTACAGGGGATGACCGGAGACTGCGGACACAGTACAGGGGATGACCGGAGACTGCGGACACAGTACAGGGGATGACCGGAGACTGCGGACACAGTACAGGGGATGACCGGAGACTGCGGACACAGGGAGATGACCGGAGACTGCGGACATACTACAGGAGATGACCGGAGACTGCGGACATACTACAGGGATGACCGGAGACTGCGGACACACTACAGGGGATGACCGGAGACTGCGGACACAGTACAGGGGATGACCGGAGACTGCGGACACAGTACAGGGGATGACCGGAGACTGCGGACACAGTACAGGGGATGACCGGAGACTGCGGACACAGTACAGGAGAGATACAGGAGACTGACCAGGAGATGACTGCGGACACAGTACAGGAGAGATGACCGGAGACTGCGGACACATACAGGGGATGACCGGAGACTGCGGACACATTACAGGGGATGACCGGAGACTGCGGACACATTACAGGGGATGACCGGAGACTGCGGACACAGTACAGGGGATGACCGGAGACTGCGGACACAGTACAGGGGATGACCGGAGACTGCGGACACAGTACAGGGGATGACCGGAGACTGCGGACACAGTACAGGGGATGACCGGAGACTGCGGACACAGTACAGGAGAGATGACCGGAGACTGCGGACACAGTACAGGGAGATGACCGGAGACTGCGGACACAGTACAGGGGAGATGACCGGAGACTGCGGACACAGTACAGGGACCGGAGATGACCGGAGACTGCGGACATACTACAGGAGATGACCGGAGACTGCGGACATACTACAGGGATGACCGGAGACTGCGGACACACTACAGGGGATGACCGGAGACTGCGGACATACTACAGGAGATGACCGGAGACTGCGGACATACTACAGGAGATGACCGGAGACTGCGGACACAGTACAGGGGATGACCGGAGACTGCGGACACAGTACAGGGGATGACCGGAGACTGCGGACACAGTACAGGGGATGACCGGAGACTGCGGACACAGTAAAGGAGATGACCGGAGACTGCGGACACAGTACAGGGGATGAAATGAAAACGAGAAACGCACCAACCTTGCGCATTACCTCAGTAACCAAAATTTATTAATTGTAAAAAATATACTCACAAACAGCGAATAAAATCAGGCATGTAAGTCCTCACAGGGACTTGAAGATAACACGAGTCCCATCAGGGGAGTGGGTGTTCAGTACAGCTGACGCGTTTCGAAGGGGGTCCCTTCTTCCTCAGAGCTAACTGAACTATGAGTGCTCTCTCCTATATATACTCCTGGACTGAACCTAGGCAATGATATAGACAAACGTAAAATATAAAATATATAAAACATATAAAATATAATATATATATATATATATATATATATATTTTACGTTTGTCTATATCATTTCTCTCTGATGGCATTACAAATAGTGATTGTCTGTTGACGATATCTTGACCCCTCCTACTAACCTGAGACTGCCCAACCCAGTGGGGAGGGCCTAGGTTTAGTCCAGGAGTATATATAGGAGAGAGCACTCATAGTTCAGTTAGCTCTGAGGAAGAAGGGACCCCCTTCGAAACGCGTCAGCTGTACTGAACACCCACTCCCCTGATGGGACTCATGTTATCTTCAAGTCCCTGTGAGGACTTACATGCCTGGTTTTATTCGCTGTTTGTGAGTATATTTTTTACAATTAATAAATTTTGGTTACTGAGGTAATGCACAAGGTTGGTGCGCTTCTCGTTTTCATTTCATTCTGCAGTGTTGATTGGGCTTCCCCAGCCTTGTTTTGGAGCCGCACAGCCCTTTATGCATTGGTGGACGATCCCTCCAGGCCTGGTTCCATCTGTTCGCCACCTGTCTGAGCCCTAGAGCGCAGGAGAATTCGTCTTTGATTTACAGTACAGGGGATGACCGGAGACTGCGGACACAGTACAGGGGATGACCGGAGACTGCGGACACAGTACAGGAGAGATGACCAGAGACTGCGGACACAGTACAGGAGAGATGACCAGAGACTGCGGACACAGTACAGGAGAGATGACCAGAGACTGCGGACACAGTACAGGAGAGATGACCAGAGACTGCGGACACAGTACAGGAGATGACCAGAGACCGGAGAGAGATGACTGCGCGGACACAGTACAGGAGAGATGACCAGAGACTGCGGACACAGTACAGGAGAGATGACCAGAGACTGCGGACACAGTACAGGAGAGATGACCAGAGACTGCGGACACAGTACAGGGATGACCGGAGACTGCGGACACAGTACAGGGGATGACCGGAGACTGCGGACACAGTACAGGGGATGACCGGAGACTGCGGACACAGTACAGGGGATGACCGGAGACTGCGGACACAGTACAGGGGATGACCGGAGACTGCGGACACAGTACAGGGGATGACCGGAGACTGCGGACACAGTACAGGGGATGACCGGAGACTGCGGACACAGTACAGGGGATGACCGGAGACTGCGGACACAGTACAGGGGATGACCGGAGACTGCGGACACAGTACAGGGGAAGACCGGAGACTGCGGACACAGTACAGGGGAAGACCGGAGACTGCGGACACAGTACAGGGGATGACCGGAGACTGCGGACACAGTACAGGGGATGACCGGAGACTGCGGACACAGTACAGGGGATGACCGGAGACTGCGGACACAGTACAGGGGATGACCGGAGACTGCGGACACAGTACAGGGGATGACCGGAGACTGCGGACACAGTACAGGGGATGACCGGAGACTGCGGACACAGTACAGGGGATGACCGGAGACTGCGGACACAGTACAGGGGATGACCGGAGACTGCGGACACAGTACAGGGGATGACCGGAGACTGCGGACACAGTACAGGGGATGACCGGAGACTGCGGACACAGTACAGGGGATGACCGGAGACTGCGGACACAGTACAGGGGATGACCGGAGACTGCGGACACAGTACAGGGGATGACCGGAGACTGCGGACACAGTACAGGGGATGACCGGAGACTGCGGACACAGTACAGGGGATGACCGGAGACTGCGGACACAGTACAGGGGATGACCGGAGACTGCGGACACAGTACAGGGGATGACCGGAGACTGCGGACACAGTACAGGGATGACCGGAGACTGCGGACACAGTAAAGGAGATGACCGGAGACTGCGGACACAGTACAGGGGATGACCGGAGACTGCGGACACAGTACAGGGGATGACCGGAGACTGCGGACACAGTACAGGGATGACCGGAGACTGCGGACACAGTACAGGGGATGACCGGAGACTGCGGACACAGTACAGGGGATGACCGGAGACTGCGGACACAGTACAGGGGATGACCGGAGACTGCGGACACAGTACAGGGGATGACCGGAGACTGCGGACACAGTACAGGGGATGACCGGAGACTGCGGACACAGTACAGGGGATGACCGGAGACTGCGGACACAGTACAGGGGATGACCGGAGACTGCGGACACAGTACAGGGGATGACCGGAGACTGCGGACACAGTACAGGGGATGATCGGAGACTGTGGACCTTTCAGGTACCCGCTCCCACTTCCGTGGAGTTGTCCTCCCTTTAGTGCGGGCAGCTGGCTGTGCCTGGGTGCCCACTGCGCGAGAAGCGCTGCACTTTGTGAATGGGCTGCGGAGTTGTCCTCCCTTTAGTGCAGGCACCTGGGGGAAAAAAGTGCATCTTATGGAGCGGAAAATACGGTATGTCCTTTTTTCCCCACAAATAGAGCCTTCATCCAGTGGTATTTGATCACCTGCATTTTTTCTATATAAACAAAAAGAAACAATTTTGAAAAACAAACAACAATATTTTTTACTTTTTGCTATAAAACATATCCGATAAAAAAAAAAAAAGTGTAAAAAATTTAATTTCTTAATAAATTTAGGCCAAAATGTATTCTGCTACATGTCTGTGCTAAAATAAATTCCAATACGTGTAAATTAATTGGTTTGCATCAAAGTTTTAAAGCGTCTACAAATGGCGGTATATATACTGGAATATTATTTTTATTTTCTTTATACTAGTAATGGCTGCGATCAGCGACCTATAGTGGGACTGCGGCAGGCATTCTGCCACTTGGTGGGAACTGACTAATTGCCACTGACATGCCCAGTGACACTAATACAATGATCATTGCTAATAAAAAGCACCGACACGGTATTAATGACACTGGGCAGGAAGGGGTTAACATCTGGGGCGATAAAAGGGTTAACAGTGTGCTGTGTGTGTTTTACATTGTGTGCTCTGCACTGTGTTGTGGTTTACTAGGGAGACAGATCGTGCAGATAGATAAAAAACAGCATGTCCATGCTAACGGCAGAGAGACCTGTGTTTACACACAGGTCTCTCCCCTGTCAGCTTTCCCTGACGATCGCCGAATGCTGGGACCCGGTGAATAACATCTGTAGCCGCCAATAGCAGCACGGGTAGGGCGGCGCACAAGTGACCCCTACCCGGAAATGCAAATCACGTGTGTGTGTGTGATTTTGCGCAGCCCTGTTGCCCTGTAGCAGTACTTCTGCTATAGGGCGGCAGGAAAGTGGTTAAAGTGGAACTCCAGCCAAAATATTTTTAATTACTGTGTTCCCTATGGGGAAGTTTCCTTTTACTTCTTGTCCCAGTCACTACACAGCAACTAGAAGGAAACCTCCCTATTGTGGAACCACAGACAGAAATAAATCTTGAAATTCTAAGTGTTTCCCACTCTGTCTGCAAGAGTTCTGCTTTAACTGGAGTTCTTAGTTCAGTGCAATATTTTTTGTTGCGGTGTATTCCCTGTTTTCTCTGGTAATCCTAGAGACTCCGACATCTCACCAATGCAGAGGCAAGGCAATAGAGTCTCTGGAAACCTTAGCTTGTAGCTGTTGAGGATACCCAGCACTTCTGGGCATTCAGTAGCATGTGACCTTGACGGTGTCAAAGCCTTGCAGCCAGTCACTAGCCAGAGTACTGTCACATGACTGGGAGGGTTATATCATTGCTCCCCCAGGTCACTGACAAATTCAGCACTGGTGAAGGGGCTTGGGCATGATGACACTGTCTCTTTACTTGCCTTTAAAAAAAATACACCATTAATAGAGCCTCTGTCTTCATACCTAGAATGTCCTATCTAAGGTTGGGACAGACACAATATGCGTTTTCATGAGAGCAACAAAAAGGCTGCCACTGTTAACCATTTCTTTCTGAAAATGCCAATTGCCTGGCTATCTTGTTGACTTTGATTTGCTGACCTGAAAGAAGGTATGCAAATGAGGGTACCTAACGTTTCTGATTGCCATCCAGTTAAATGGCTTAGAATGTAATAGAGCCAATGTGTCAACACACGAGCCAGGCAGATAGTGTTTTTTGATTATGGTAAGCAATGATCAGCCCCTGTATTTCTTCTATCATGGGTTTATTTTAAAGCAGGGGAGGCGCATACAGCAACTAATTTTGGCTGCTTGGTTTTTTAGATCATTAGCCCTCCTGCCTTTGGAAACTGAATTAAAATTGTTTGTTATATCAGAGCTCTAAAAAAAACCCCTAACATTAGAAATTGGAGAAATTTTATTTAGATCAGTTTGTATGTATTCTTTCCACATTTCTTTTTGTTTTTTGATTCCTTCAGTCCTTTGCTTTCTATATGTCACTTTTCCATGTATTTCAGTAGTGGGTTATTTAACCGCTTCCGCACCACCCTATAGCAGAAATACTGCTACAGGGCGGCAGGGGTGTGCAAAATCACTCATATATATATGAGTGATTTTGCATCCCAGGGTAGGGGGCACTCGTGAGCCCTACTTGCGCTGCCATTCGCGACCACGGCTGTGAAGCACCGGGACCCAGCCGGTGATTCCGCCCAGTAATCACTGAGGATCTCCGATGGGGAGGAGAGCTACTTTGTATACTAATAGTCCTCCTCCCTGTTGGCTCGGGCACAGCCATCCAGAGCAGTGTGCTTACAGTGAATCCCCAACACACCGTCCCCCGTAAAACACTCCAGCACATAGTTAACCCTTTGATTGCCCCGCATGTTAACTCCTTCCTGCCCAGTACTGTTAGTACAGTGTCAGTGCTTTTTATTAACACTGGTCACTGTATTAGTGTCACTGGGGATGTCAGTGACCGCTAGTTCCCACCCAGTGTCAGAATGCCCACCACAGTCCCGCTATAATTCACTGATCTCCACCATTACTAGTATAAAAAATGAAAAAAAATTCCAGTATATATACCGCCATTTGTAGATACTATAACTTTCACGTAAACCAATTAATTTACATGTATTAGGATTTTTTTCTAACAAAGATGTGTAGCAGTATACATTTTGTTATAAATTTATGATGAAATTTGATTTTTAACATTTTTTTTTTTTTTTTTTTTTGACTGGACATGTTTAATAGCAAAAAGTCAAAAATATAGTTTTTTTATCAAAATGATTGGTCTTTTTTTATTTTATAGCTCAAAAAATAAAAAACGCACAGGCGGTCAAATAACACTGAAAGAAAAAAAGGACCTAAATTTCATTTGGGTGCAACGTTGCATGACCGCACAATTGTCAGTTAAAGTAACACCGCACCGTAATGCAAAAAATGGCCTGGTCAGGAAGGGGGGTAAATCTTCAGGAGAGCAAGTGGTTAATATCTCCACTTTCCACTTTTAAAAGGCCACAGTAATGTTTACGTTCACAGCCATTGGCTAGGAGAGTATATACTGTAAGGACAGATGTCTCATGATCTGAGATATTGGGGTTGAATTACTAAAGGCAAATATACTGTGCACTGTAAGTACAGTTGCACTAGATCTGAGGGAAAGCTCTGCTGATTTCTTTCATTCAATCATGTTCAAGCAAAAATGCTGTTTTTTATTTTCCTTACAAGTGATCGTGTATTCTTTGCTAAGTAAAGCTTTCCTCATTTACTAAGCTCTGGAGCAACTGCACTTGCAGTGCACAGTATATTTGCCTTTAGTAAATCAACCCCACTGTGTGATAATTGGTCTAGAATGTGGAACATAAATGATTGTATAGAAATATTAAAGTGATACTAAAGTCTGGTTTTGTTTTTTAACTTAACAAACATGTCATACTTACCTTCTCTGTGTAATGGTTTTGCACAGAGCAGCCCAGATCCTCCTTTTCTCGGGTCCCTCGCCTGCATTCCATGACCCTCCTTCCTGTTGGGTGCCCCCACAGCGAGCAGCTTGCTGTGGGGGCACCCAAGCAGGTGCGCTCCCGAGCTGCGGCTCTGCATGTCTATTCACACACAGAGCCACGGCTTGGCCCCTCCCTCTCCTCATTGGCTCACTGGCTGTGATTGCCAGTGGCTCCTGCTGCTGCCTCAGCCAATCAAGAGTGAGAGTTGCCGGAGATCCGAGGCTCTTGTATACAACTCTGGATCGAGAGGGGGCTCAGGTAAGTGTTAGCGGGGGGGGCTGCTACACACAGAAGGTTTTTTTACCTTCATGCTTAGAATGCATGAAAGTAAAAACCTTCAGCCTTTTCAACCACTTTAACATCTGCAAATTTTATTGATTGGGTGGGTTTAATGCTCTCATCTTCTATTTAGCTTTCCAGAGAAGTGATTGTGATGGGCAAGCGGATTTTGTCTCATAGGGCAAGCAAGTTTTGTGACAAACAAAGTAGTCTTGTTACAGTGATCCAGAATGTTCATGATGTTCTTGGGATTATCTTTCTGTTCTCCAGGTGTTGAGATGAGATATGACCTGTACAGTCCTCGGATGCATGAAATCCAAGTACTGAAGCTGGAGAAGAGACTGGACAGCAACCTGATGTATCTGCGTGACGCACTCCCTGAATACAGCACGTTTGATGTCAACATGAAGCCAGTCCTATCACTGGACTCTGAGGTTCCTGTTAACCAAGTGAGTGGGGAGGTGTATGCGATTTTGTTGCCAAGACTTTCTCTAAGGCTGACCATACACTATACAATCTGATTGTACAATCTCCTTTATATCTACCATCAACTATGTAGTGTAAGGACTCGCTGGATTTGATAATAGTTTACTATGTTAAGCAGACTTGCCCTCCTCATATTACACAGTCTTGGTAAACCTAAAGGGGATTGTACAATCAATCTCAATTTCCTCTTATATTAATATTTTCCCTCCCCCTCATTTCTCTCTCCCTCACCCTCTTTTCTCTCTCCCTCCCCTCTTTTCTCTCTCCCTCACCCTCTTTTCTCTCTCCCTCCCCCTCTTTTCTCTCTCCCTCCCCCTCTTTTCTCTCTCCCTCCCCCTCTTTTCTCTCTCCTCTCCCTCCCCCTCTTTTCTCTCCCCCCCTCTTTCCTCCTCTCCCCCTTTTCTCTCTCCCTCCCCCTCATTTCTCTCTCCCTCCCCCCATCATTTCCCTCCCTCCCCCCTTTTCTCTCTCCCTCCCCCCCATTCCCCCTCATTTCTCTCTCATTCCCCCTCATTTCTCTCTCCCTCCCCCTCATTTCTCTCCTCCCCCTCATTTCTCCTCCCCCTCATTTCTCCCTCTCATTTCTCCCTCCCCATTTCCCCCTCTTTCTCCCTCCCCCTCATTTCTCTCTCCCTCCCCCTCATTCCCTCTCTTTTCTCCTCCCCCCTCTCATTCCTCTCCCCCCCCCTCCCCCTCATTCCTCTCTCCCTCCCCCTCATTTTCTCCCTCCCTCCCCCTCTTTCTCCTCCCCCTCTCTCCCACTAATATAGCACTTTAGCAAAAAATTAACAATAAAAGAATAAGGATATCCAAACCCCCACCAAAGTGGAATGATTATGTGCCAATAATACACAGTAAGTAAAAGTCTGTATAGAAGTCCACATAATCTGGGAATGTTGGTGCTTAGTGAACAGGAGACCAAAGAATAGAAAGAGTCTGTCACCTTCCACCCAATCACTCAGCCCCTTACAGGAAGATTTGACCAGCCAAAGGATTGGTCAAATAACGCAGTTGTCAGGCCCGGCAGATGTACCATAGGCTTCCAAATAAATCTCCCAGGAGATCCAGATGATATAGGAACTATCTTCTAAACAATAAGATCTCAGATGGCAAGCAACTCCACGCAGTAAACACCACAGAGGGAAAGAGAAACCGCTCATAGTGTAGTAATTTAAAAAAGGTAATACAATTAATTCACAGTAATGCCCTTACAATCAAAAAGTAAAAAAAACAGCCTGTCTGTATAATCTTTCCATCCATCCAAAAAAAAAAAAAAAAAAACCATATTGAGAATTTTTTTGTATTTTTTTTTTTTTTACTACTTGCCAACCGCTTACCCATATTTTGCAGCTCTTGGCAAAGCAACATAATCTTGCATCACTTCCTATTTTGGGGTGTGAACGCACCTGCGCCCCCCCCCCCCCCACCCGTCGGTCCAGGGAGAGAAGAGAGAACACGGCACCAAGTAAAAGCACTACGTTTTACACACACACACGTTAGATTAGCACATTTAACCCTTTGATCGCCCCGTCACCCAACCAGTGCCATTAGTACAGTGTCAGTATATAGAATTTTTCACTGATCACTGTATTCCTGCCACTAACGACATCAGATAGTGTCAGGGTCAGCTACCGTTAGATTGCCCACACACTATTGCACTCACACTATAGGTCGCTGATCACCGCCATTACTAGTATAGTGTTTGTACAGATCAAGATGTTGATCATGAACAGAACTATACTAGTGCCTCCTTTTGTATAGTGTCCCCAAAAATGCAGAGTTAGCAGGAATTGCCCCATTTTCTGCTAGCACTAGCGTTTAGCCCCTCCGCTGTTTTTCACTGAAGATTTATATCAATTGATTGTTGGCCAAGGTAATTTATACGCACAACAATACATCGCTGCCAACCCAAATTCAGCTCTTTCTAGACAATTTGCATGGAAACCTATCACGGTTTCTGAATTTAAAACTCTTTTGGGTTTAACCCTCAACATGGGCATTACAAAAAAGAATGCATTGCGGTCATATTGATCCACAGAGTCAATTCATTGTATGCCTGTGTTCTCTGCTGTTACACATATGCCCTTACATATATGGTACGTCGTTGGACTTTGAGTGGTTATAACTGGATGATGCCTGAAGTTGCACCCCCCTCTCGCTGCCTTCCACACAGTTTTTCATAATTACCAGTTAGAATAGTGCAGTGCCGAACAGCAAAAAATGTCCTGGTCAGGAGGGGGATAAATCCTCTGGAAGGCAAGTGGTTGAATAACATAGAGGTCACCAACTGGCTGTTTACAACTCGAATCTTGAGATCCAAGAAATTAAATTAATCTTTACTTGCCTCATGCTGGAGGAGAATGCCCCGGTCATTGGCATTCAAATGGCTTATAAACTGACCGAAAGAATTGAAATCCCCCTCCCCTCATTTTTTAAGGATACTAAAGATATCAATCTATTGGGATCCATTACATGGTGGTTAACTCTGATATGGCTTCGCTATATACTATCATTTTGCATCAACACGGGATGGAGGCAGTAGAATACTATCTTCGTGCTGATGTTATATTGCAGAGCCAACAGCATGAGTTTGCTTTCTCTCTGTTGGACTTTGTGATGGGTCATAATTATTTTTGGTACAATGGTACTTTATTTTATCCAAGATAGTTGTGTGGCCAAGGGGTGCTAAGTTTGCCCCCAATATGGAAAATTGGTTTATGGCCAAGTGAGAGGAGGACGTTGTCTAAAAGGAACGGAGATTAGAATTGTTTCTTTGGAAAAAATGATATACAGATGATGTCCTCCTCTACAGTTTTTAAAGGGAGGGGGATTTAGATTCTTTGGGTCAGTTTATAAGCCATTTGAATGCAAATGACCGATAGGCATTCTTCTCCAGCATGAGACAAGTAAAGGTGAGTTCCTTCCTTTTATTTTTTTACTTGGATATGCCAAGATTCGAGTTGTGAATGGCCAGGTTTTGTCGGTTTTCTTTAGGTGACCTCTACAGTTTTTGTGAAAGAGACTGACCGTAATGGCCTGTTTATTGATGTTAATAGTTGCCATTCATGTGTATGGTTGAGATCGGGACCCAAGAGCCAATACTTTAGACTACAGAGAAAAATTATTCAACCCCCAATTGTAAAGTTTAGGGACTATAGTGTTTTGTAATGTATTTTCTCTGTGAAACTTGGCTTTTTGAAACAAAGGTTTCTTGATAGGGGCTACAAATCTGAGGATCTGGAGGAAGCTTTCCTCCAGCTTGATAGAAAAGTAATACATAGTAAATGGTTCTTACAGAGAGGATATGTTGAGACCGAAACAGGTGGTACAAACGGATCCTTCCTTTTATTCTTTTTTTAAACTACCTATTCGTGGCAGTGCAGCATTATGCTGTTAAAATGGAATCCTTCTGCTGAGGAACTAAAAATTGGAGGATTCAGCCCAAGAATGATAAAGTTGCTGGGCTGTCTTAAGAAGAGTCGCTTCCAAAAGCCATGACAAACCACAAAAGTTGTGGGATAGTCGGTTCTTGGACTTTAGGGGAGCTCCCCGCTTTGTTTGGGCTTAGGCCTATAGCCCCAAACTGTTGTGGAAATCCCCTGCAGGTACAGGGAGGCCGATGTTCTCTTCAGTACAGGAGATATTGGATGAAACGTGGTCCGTCACATCCCTGTAGAAAGTGTAAAGCCTGATCCCAAGCATACCTCAATTCCCAAGGGTATAAGAGGAAAGGCAATTCCTTTCACCAGACTCAAGCTGTATAAAGAAAGCTTAGTGCGCAAGCCTTGTGACACGGAGGCCTAGACGAAGTTACCCGTAGATCGCTGCAAGACACACTGTGTCAAGCTACTTCACAGTTTAATGTGTAAAAGGATGCTGTTTGATACTGATTGAATGTCCTTGGGGTTGAATAAAACTGATAATGCTGTGAGCACAGAAAAGACATTTGTGGTTATTTCATTATAACTGAATATTTGTCTGTACACAAGTGCCTTTAATGTAAATGTAAGCAAGATGAGAATGATCTCAATGTCAAACTGCATCAATTAGTGGGGGTTGAGAACACAACTGTAAAGCGTTTCCTGATCATAGTGTGTCTAAGCACTATGCATTGCATCATAATAAAAATCCAGAGGGAACCCTATTTTAGCCATTGATAAATTTATCCCCAATCAGTTGGAGAGGGAGTCATGTAAGACATGAGATCTCCAAACTAGAAAGGTTTTGGATTTATTCCTTAACCACTTTTACCCCTTTCCTGTCCAGGCCAATTTTCAGCTTTCAGCGCTATCACACTTTGAATGACAATTGCGTGGTCATGCAACACTGAACCCATATGAATTTTTTTAGCATTGTTTTGAGACAGATAAAGCTTTATTTTGGTGGTATTTATTCACCACTGGGATTTTTATTTTTTTTGCTATATAAATGAAAAAGTACAAAAATTTTGAAAAGTGTTTTTCTTATAAAATTTTGCAATTAAATAATATTTCATCCTAAATCTTGGCTCAAATGTATTCATTTATCTTTAGTAAAAAAAAAAACCCAAATTAGTTTATAATCAAAAAAATATAATTAAAAAAATGTTTTACTTTTTTTAATTTTTTTTATATTTTTTTTTTTTTTTTTTTTTT